AGAAGCAAAAATGATTCATATATTTAAAAATCTTAGAATAATAATGACATAGAATAAAACTCATACTGTTAATAGGTTTATTCAGGAGCAGCTTGCAATACTGGAGCAATAGCTCTTTGTCGACGTTCTTTTATTTTACGCCAGATTATTTTCCATGATTGAAAAATTCGAACGTCAAGTACAGCGATAAAAAATGGATTAGTTACTATTTCTATATAATTAATCAAAGACGTATAAATACCAAGTTTACTATTAACATTAATAAATTGAAAAACAAGTACATTTGGACTCCACAATAGTAGCCATATTGAATAAAATATTATTGTTTGTATTAAAAAATTTTTTTTGTGTTTACGACGAAAATTAATTATTTGTTCACTATGAATATCTCTTATTGTGCTCACATGATGAATACAAAGTGCAATGATAATTAAATTTAAACTAATTGGAATGATATAAATGATGAATAGATTAAATATTTCTACAATTAAGGAATTGTATATTATATCGCAAGACTCGCCTGCTTTATGTAACAATATTGTCCAATTACAAAGAATTTGTATTGTGATAATAATTGCTGGCAATAAATAAATTAAAAAGTGACTTAAAATAATTAGACGAGGATTTTTTATAAAAACATTTCGATTATATATAATTTGTGCACCTCGACATGTATTTAATGCCAATAAAAGATAACTTTGTACTATATTTACATAAAATCTTGATGTGGCTTCAACATAACATAAAATTAATCGAAATGTTGGATATAAACATGCATCCCAATGATGCATAACATAGAAAATAAAAAATCGAGCTAGAATAAAAAAATCTGTTATTAAATATGCATATAACCACATCATATTTCTTTGTCTTAATGATGAAAACAGGATAACTTGAATCCAAAAGACAGTATGGATAAAAATAGCTATTGAACAAATGACAATAATAGGAGTAAGATTAAAGGTGGCAGTTGATGACCAACTTAGAGAAGTACAATTCATTATTTTTCAGTCACAACTATTTTCTATGAAATATTTTGTTTTGTATAATAGAACACTATTTTAAGAATCGGTCGCTTCAATCGTATTATCTTTAATAAAGTGATTTTATATGAGAATTAGTTGTAATAAAGACAGAGAACAAAATAAAATATTGATAGTGAGAATGCATCAACTTACTGTGATCATCAATAATAATCTTTATGAGGAACTCCATATCTCCAGAGTGTGACTGTTCCGCATTCAGCATAGTTTAATAAAAGAAAGAGATTACCACGTGAAAGAAGAAAAGGAAAAGTCAACAGAATGTGACATTACTGTCACTGCATCTTCTCCATTATAATCACCTTTCAACAATATTGAAGTCATTCTAAAGAATAATTAAATTTCTAGTTTTTTTGTCTCTTACAATACATATGTATTTCTCGTCGTGTTTACATAACAATACGTTATTAAGTATAACGGGTACTACCCAGTCAGGCAAGCTACAAAAAATAACGCGTTTTTACGCATAAAGACTGCATGGTTTTGTTAAAAATTTTAAAACATTTTTACGTGTTTATTTTTCTACTGAAATAAATGACTTTTTAGAAGAATCACAGCTATAATCTGTAGGCTTATGTTGTTTGCAAATGACCTTTATAGTTTTAGCAAACTGAGTGTACGAATTACAGCTGTCATTCTTCTAAAAGCTCAATTATTTCACTAAAAAAAAACACGTAAAAATGCATTAAAATTTTTAACAAAAATAAAATCGCAGAAATGTGCAGTCTTTATGCGTAAAAACGAGTTATTTTTCGTTGCTTGTCTGGCTGGGTATGTTCGTAAGATGAGATCATTATTAGAATTTTCCTTAAAGGCATAATAATTTAGATATTAGGAAAAAAAATCTTCTCTTATATATTGAGTTAGTCAAAGCATTGAATGTCAATTCTATACATACAGTTAGATTCAAAATGAAAAAACATCGTTTTAAGGTACCTTCTTTCCACTTCTTTCCCTCATAGATTGTTTATAATGAGCATCTAAATAATGATTTACCAAAGAGCATAAAGGATTCAAAAAAATAGACTATTATATTCAGAAAGAATTGAACTGGTTAAATGTGTTTTTAAATTAATATTGTTGAGAATTTATTTAATGATAATAATTAAATATTAATTGCTATTAACTAATAGTTGTAGAGAAATCTTGTCATAGTTTTTTATTTTAAACCATCCTGTGACAATCACTATTAAAAATTGAAGAAAATTTATTATTTTTTGTTTTAGAATAACTGATTTCGATGGGTTGTCGGAAGCATGCCTTCAAAATTAGATTAACATAGTTTTATTAGATGAGTAAATTTAGTCTTCAACGGAAACTTCAAATTTCTGAAAAATAGCACATTTTATAGAAGAAATTTTCTGCTATCTAGGGAAACCTGACAGTATTTCTAATAATGTAACAACAAACTAAAGGAGAAACTTACTGCAACTGTTAGCAATAACGTTTATTTAGCTAGTTCAAGGCTCCAGAACGTGAGCTATGTGAGAAGATGAGAAAAAGAAAATTATTTCTTATTCCTACTGACTCTCACCAACAACTAATGACTAAAGTGTCGAAAAATTAATGTTGTGACCCACATTTATTTGGATTGAGAACGACAACATAGATAACAAGACAACCATTTGAATTTACAATTGCTATATTATGAATAAAGATGTTTTAGAAAAAAAATTATTACTTTTTAAATCATTTTATGTTTTTCGTGGTGTCAGTGATAATTCTATTTTATTTACAGACTGTTTTAGTTCCACTATAGTGGTAGATGGAACGCATCATTATGTTCAAATGATAATGAAGCTTTTTTCAAAATTCTTAATGATTCATTTATTTATTGCTACTTTAATTAAGCCTTTTATGTATGAGATTTTTGAAGTTCAGCGGCTACCAATGAATTTTCTGAGCACGTACA